CCCAGCTCCAGGTTGAGCTGTTGTTCAGCATCTTAGCTGTAGAAGGCAGTCACTGGCCCTCATATGTGGGATCCGAACCAGGGCCCTCTGGAGTCCCAAGCCAGCTCTTAACCATCGCGCCACTCGGCCAGCCCAATACATTTTTTTTTAATTGCCAAATTCTATATACCAAAGATGTACTCCTCTTTATAAACTTTCAAAGGCAGTATGCATATTTTGGCATATTTATTAGAAACTATGAATATGTAAAAAAGTATTAGAATTAAACTGAATGTTTCTAATTTGTTATTTTTCTAATTCCCTATATATAATAAAAGAAGAAAACGTTATACTTACCATGTATCCCACTGTGGCTGGCAGGAGGAATATAAGTGATGAATGGGAACAGCCAACAGAGACCTTTTCAAAATGGACTTATGGTATATACATTTGTCCCTTTTAAAGTTTTTAAATGGGGGCGAGGAAGGAGACAAGACTTTTATCTATTACTGACCCTTAAGTCTTACAAGAATTACAATGATTAGTAAACTATATGAGTTCTGTAAGTACTAACAAATGAAACACAAGATGCAGATTAGTCTGTTTCACCAACACTATGATTAAACCACGTGAGAACTAAGTCAAGAGTTTACCTTTGTGCTGGCCACGCCAACCTCGGGCCCAGCGTTAATGTGAACACCACAGTCTGTCTCCCTCGATATGGAGCTGCCGACTGTGTTTGTGATCCCCACAGTTAAAGCTCCTCTCTCCTTACAGTATCGGAGAGCCATCAGGGTGTCTGCTGTCTCACCTGTGTAGAAAGGAAGACATGGAGCAGTTACCATATTGTTTCTTAGGTGCAAAAACAAAACCTTGACTATACTTTGAACAATACCATTTATTTTAAATAAAATTTAAAACATGCACTTAGAACAATTAGTAAAACTTTAATAGGATCTTACTTGTTAGGGTTTCCTTTCCTTCTTTCTCTGAAAATTCAGCTCTTTGAGAGTAAAATGTTTTAATTTTACTAATTCATAAATAATTACATAAGATCAAACAAAATTTCTATTTCTTAAGTCATCTGTAATACCATTTTATCTTTAAATATCAGTTTTGCAAGATAATTATCTTGCAAAGATAGCCTGGCTTTCTTTTCCTTCAAGTCTTTAAAATCAGCATACCTGACTGGCTAATGAAAAAGCAAACATCATCTCGAAAAACTGGCGTGTTTCTATCCAGGAAATCACTGGCTAGCTCCACCATAACAGGCAACTCAGTCAGCTCTTCAAGAACTTGACGTGTCTGAAGAGAAAAGATGATTTGGTCAAGCAACTGTACTTCAAATACTCTTTTTCACTGGACTTCTTTGGACTCAATGTATAGTTTTTATTTTTCCTGATCATAAAAAAAGAACACATGTACATTGTTAGAAAATATAAATACAGATTAAAACATCAAAATAATCAAAGAGCACCTTAACATTCATTTTACTAAATTTCCATTCTAATGAAATTACTTCTACTCTAAACATCAGAAAATTAAAAACAGTCCGAAATAAACTTTTAGGCAGCAAAAATTTTAAGCCCTATAGTTGTATACATTTATTGGGTTGTGGGAAAAGTCATGACGTCTTTTTTCTATGTTTTTTGTTGCAAAAATGCGTCATGACTTTTCCGACAACCCCATAGTTGTTTTAATAACTGTGGAGACCACCTGCTTCTTGAGGCAAGTCTTGCCCCCATCTCTGCATTCCTCTCTCACTTTGGTTTGGCACTGTTTAACAATGTTATAACATCATGTACAGAAAGTCTTCAAAGATTAAATGTTCCTATTTTTAAGTAACTTTTTGAATTGAGGTATTTTATTTACCAATTATACATAAATAAGTTACTGACACTAAAATGTTAAATGTTTTCCCTCAAACAAATGTAAATCACGATAAACTGCCCCCCAAGTTTACAATATAAATGTTACACTGGAATTACATTCTTCAAAATAAAAAGAGTACAATACAAATCTGGCAACTTACCAGATATTTAAAAATAATTTTAAAATAATACACCCCAAAAATGTAGTCTCAAGATATATCTGTGCTAACGAATGGCTTGTTCTTTCAGTGGAAGCAACTCTTTATAAATAGACAGAATGACATATTTTCATCATAAAAGACTAATTTAAAGTCAAATTCCATTTTATGCCACTGTAAAAACCCAGAGACAATTAAAATTTTGAAAAGCAAGCTATGATTAGAATGATTTTAGTTGGTTGTTACTGTTCAGGATATAGTATACTAAAAAAGGAAGCTGTACAAATATGTCATTCACATTTGATCCCACCAAATAAACAAAAACAAAAAACTAGACCGAATAGAATTGCCATTATTTAATATGATAAACCACGAGTGGACTTCTAATGTTTGTTAACTATAGTGTAGCCTTGGCATCCACCCAAAACAAACAAACCACATTGTATCTTCTCAAATTTCAAAATTAGAAAATTCTAACAGAGCATATATAATAACTTCTGCTCAAAATTCAGGCTTAGCATAAGACATTTAATCAAATTTTTTAGTTCTGAATAAAGGGCTCATTCAGTAATAGACCTAAACCACCATTAAATTAGCCAATCCCTTAATTTACACTAATGTCTTTAACTCATTCTTTTTTTCTATGCTCAAAACCATCACTTTTTTTTATAACTCTTCCCTTCAATACTCATAGACTTTCCCTTTTTAGGACCATGTAATTTTTTTTGTTTGGGGGTTGGGTGCTTCAGAGAACAGTAAAGCCTGTTAAAATGCAACGGCTGGGTGACCAGGTAGTTTCACTCACTAGTTAAATGACTGACTCCCACAAGTGTAGATAATATTTACGCCCCAGCAAATAAAAATTATTATGTCATGAGCTTTGGGAATCATCCTAAAAGTAGCAACTGAGTGTGTAGTGTGTAGGGTCTTCTGTACTCGGGGGAGCTGACATCAGCAGCACGTAACCTGTTGCTTCATAAGGAAACTATCCATGGATCTGATACATTGAACTAAAAGACTGTTATATTCCTATGCGTCTGCACTGACAAATCAACACACAGCTCTGATACAGTTTCAACATCCAAAATAATAATTTAAAAAACAAAGTCTGGCAAGAAGCAAACTTCCATTCTCTGCAGAAAGCGCCAACCAAGTAAAATCCTGTTGGGGTTCACACATGGTTCCAGCCATCTGTCTGGGGCACGTGAACAATGAGAAGCAAAAACCAACGAGTGCTCTTATGGAAGTGGGCTCGCGCCCTAGAAATAAGGGCAGGATGGCGTGAAAACTTTCCCACTCTTTGTTTTTCATGAAGCCAGCTACAGGCGGTCTACCTGTAGATCTAAGGACTTTTCTAAAGCAGATCTTCCACTAATAAATAATTCCATGCAGCTATTAAAATTTCTCCCCCCAACCTTCTTGATTTTTGTTATGGCAACATGAAGAGATAACACGATGTTTTGACAAAGGAGTCTTACATGGTGTGTTGCTGGAGGTACTATTTGTCTGCAGATATCTTCTAATACCCAACATAACACAATTAAAAATTTAAGAAGCCACTTACTGCCACACCAGCATGATAACTTGTTCCACAAGCAATAAGAATGAGACGCCGGCACCGCTGGATCTCCTTAATGTGATCCTTCAAACCGCCCAAATTCACTGAAATCAAAGTTTACGTATATAATTATTTAAGAAAGAACAATATGAAACAGGCAGTCACTTTTCATGGTGTCCACCACCAATCTGGAAAACACTGCTGTTTTGAAGAATTCATATTCCTCTGAGAAAAGCATACTTCTCTATAGTTTTGAAAAGTCAACTAAATAAGTCACAACTTAACTGGTTTCTTCAAACTTGTAACTAACCTTACTTACCACCCAACCCCATTCCCACACAATTATAGTATTTATCATTCTCTCACTTGTTTGGTTGTTTTTCATTCCTTCCTTTAGATGAAAAGTTATCTTAAAGGCAAAGCTATAGGGGCACAGACTGCAGATCAGTAGGTGCTGACATCTAGAGGTGGGGAAGGGGCCGACCACAAAGGGGTGCCGGAGTTTTCAGGGTGATGGAACTGTGCTGTCGTCACCGGTTTAGAGGTTAGCATTATGACCATGTTCGTTGAAATTCAATAAATTATACATCAAGGCTGGTAAATTCTATCTATATCTCCATAAGCCTGCGTGGGGGTGGGGGANGCATTATATACTTCCATTTATAAAAATTTCTAGAAAATGATATAACAAGAGGAGGTAATAGTAATTCGCTGAGAGGTAGGAGTGAGGATTGACTACAAAGGGGAACAAAGAAAAAAAAGGGGGGAGAGACACAAAGAAACTTTCAAGTGAGTAAGTCTTCTAAAACTGGATTCTAATGATAGTTACACTAAATTTACTAAGTGTATACACTTAAAGATTGGTGAATGTTATGGTATAAAAATTATAACCCAATAAAGCTGTAGAAAAAAGGTTAATGATACAATCTAGGTAATGGGTATATGGGTATTCATGTAAAATTCTTTTAACGCTCCTGTATGTTTGAAAATTATAATAAAATGTTTTCATAAACTATAGAATGAGAAATCAAAAAAGTTATATTTCCCCAGCAACTCACAGTTCAAGAAAGAGTTAATAAAAAGGTAAGTCAACAGCATCCACTCAGTCGGTGGGTATACATACATATACCACGCTGAAACCCTTGTTTCACAATGTGTTATGAATAAAGGGGCCCTGGGATTCCAATCTCCAATCAAAGCTGTCTCTCTGGACACTATTCCAAAAATCCACAAGCTGCTGCTTAGGGCAGTTGGTTATTTACTCAGGCACAAAATGGAAACCCAAGCACAAACATCTTACATGTTTTAATTACCACATGGAGAAAATTCAGGTTTTAGCTTTCTGTAAATTACAGTGTTGGCAATATCAAAGTAACCAAGAAACAAAAACCTCACTCAGTTTTTACATAAGAATCACAAATTTTCCACACATATGAAAAATTCTCCATGAGGTTCTTTAAAAGGAAAAAATATTCAAATGTGGTTATGTACATGTTAACATCATCTTCCAGATGCCTTTAATTATAATAGAATCAATTCCACCAATACCTAAGCATCTTATCAGACAATTAGCAAGAAACATTAGACTTAAGTAGAAAAACAGCCCAACTGAAATTTTGTAATCATAAAGAGTAATACATTTGTGGAGAGAGAACATCTCTGCACTTACACGACTTTATAAGATTCCTATTTTTATTACTATATTGATGCATATCCCAATTTCAAAGCACGTAGTCTCTCACTAGGCCTTAAAAAAAAATGAAGGTGTTTTTACATCTTCACAGATGTAGTATCTAAAGAGAAACAGATATTATCCTATAATACTTTTTTTTTTTTTACAGATTTTTATTGGGGAATTGGGGGATGGGAACAGCGCTGGGGAATTGGGGGATCTGGTCTATCACTTTAAATGTTATAAAATCCAAA